ATGCGAGCACGGGCAAAAAAACCTACTTAACTGTAAACTTATTCGTAGCTATTCAAATTTTTTGTTCCTGCTGCTGTTCGAGTTGAATGTACACGGAAATTTACATTTCGATCCAAAATAAATTAGACAGGAGGATTTTCAATGCTTGAATCGATTTAACAGTGGTAAACCGTCAATACCGAGCCGATCACTCAGGATGACGGTACACAAAACCAGCACGAGCGACCTATCAAGGAATTTTACTTCTTTGATTCTACCGTTATCAACTCCACATTGAACAAGTAGGAGCGTCTCGGTGTACCTGCTCGTAGCAGAAAGTAACATGGGATCGAATGGCATACCTTTCTATATTGTCTGGCACATTACACTCATTAACACGTACCTAGACACAATATTTTTAATATTAAAAACTGTGAATGGTAGTATACGATTGTTTCTAAAATGCACCATACAATTTAAGAGGGTCATTTAGCATGGGAGAATAATGGTAGTAAACATTTTTTTTTCGAAATATCAATTGATTTTAAGTTATAGACTGCCAATTTTTTTATTTATTCTTTTAATCATTTTAATTTAATTGCTATCAACCTCATGTTTTTGACACATGCCCCACGTAGGCTAAAATCTATTGTGCTAATTAGAGAAAAGTTTCAGTAGGTGCTGCTAGAGGGCAGTTTAGTAAAAAAAATGCCGTCACTACATTCTTTTACTGACTATTGCTAATGTGATAGGTCATTTTAGGGGCAATAAAGAACTATTTAAGGCATTACTGAATAAAGTGTACATTTTTTAAAGAGTTCTTTATTACCTTTCAAGCAAAAATTTGTCTCGATTGTAGGTAAACTCTAATTAAACTTATCTCTAATTAGTGCAATAGTGCTTAATCTAGGTGATTGTGCACAGACGCTAGACGAAATAGCGAATCCGCGTATGAGAGGCGCGCGCGCGGCTCATAGCGCTTTATTAACAATTAAAAATAAGGCTTTAGAATAATGCGAGCCCCAAAAACTCTTCAGCATCTTGTAGGGGGGTGTTTAAACTTTAATTTAGGCACCTGGCAACATCAAAAATAACAATTTTTAACCCTGAAATCGGCCGTTGAAAATCGCCATTTTCGCATTTTTAGAAACTAAAATTGTTTATGACTTTAAAACTATCAATTTTAGAGGTATAGTGCATATGAACTTTTTTGTTTATAATATACCAAAAAACCTAGAGAAAATTTTCCCGAGTAAAAAAAACCAATTTTTACAATTTGTTTAAAAAAATTTGTTTAAACAAATGGGCACCAGATTTCCGGCCGGCATCATCTTGATTCATGTTAAGGAACATCTCACGAATCTGAATATGCAAAAAAATCGAGTCGGAAAATCCCACGAATGCGAGGTTTTCGCCTTCTCTATATAGGTGCACTGGTAGAACCAAATATGATGATTATGGATAATGTTATAGATATATACAATTTTTTTTATAACCTTCCAATGTGTGGAGACATATCTATTATACAGTAAGCTTATATTCATAAAAAATTAAGAAATTGTGGCGCATTCCAAATATATTTAGAGGGTTGTCCAATGGACCGCGAAAATTTAAAATATAAATTTTGAATAAAAATAGTTGATAAAACTTGAGATAAAGAGCAAAATCGTTCCCAGCAGGCCATGGTTGGTAATAATTGTGTAATTGGTGTAGTAAGTACCAAAAGGCCACTATACACAAAAAAAATAATTGGAATTGAGTGTCCTCAAAATTTTTTAGAAAGTTGTATAAAAAAATATTCTATTCACATTTTTAAAAAGTAAAAAATATCTAAACTGATTTTACAAAAAATCGCTTACAAAAAAATCGCAGTAGCCACGGATTGCTAACTGAATCATCGTAATTTATTTCCAGAAGGCTACCATATACAAAAATAATTTTAGGATACCGATTCAGATATTATTTATATAATCGTTTTTTGAATTGTATTTGAATTGTATTTTCAATAAATAATTACGTTCAAAAATTGGCAATGTATCCAACTAAGAGTGGGGTTAAGGAGCCATTGTTTTATCTTCATCAGTAAAAAGTATATTTGCAGTTTTAGAGATTTTTTCAATTTTTTAGGTATTTGTTTAAATAAATTAAAAAATCGAGTACAATGGGTACTAGGAAATCTGAACCACATAAAATTGAGATGAATTGTTCACAAACACAAAAAACATTGTTTCCCATGATTATATCATGTGCACAAGATAGCACTGTGTGGGTTTATGAACAATTGCAGAATGTCGCGGTAACAAAATTCTTGGGTAAAGACATCCCACACATAATTGTAATAAAATATAATCACTACAAGTACCAGGGCAACGACACCATTTTTTCCATATAAGTAAATGAGACGAGAACAATAATTATTACATATACTATTTGTAAGATGCTCATTTTATTTTGGTTATAGATTATGACTATTTTTTGATATTTTAAGGACATTTGTTTTGTTTTTTTTCAAAGACAGTTTCTTCACTAAACAAATATTCCAATTAATTTATTTTAATTATTTCATTCAGCGTTTTGTAACATCGACCATGTTCCATTTTTGTTTGATTAATATGTGTAATAAATTTTAATCAAAATTTAATGAAACCGACAATAGATGTAGGTATCTCAATATCATCACGTAGTCAGAATAAGATACCTGGAAACCACTGACCATTGAAAAGTTAATAAGCGTTCCTAATTATAATTGCTACTGCTTTTCATAGGCCGGAGGAAGTCGGGTAAGTCCCTTAGAAATTAATTTCCATAGGTATGCCTTATTTTCGATACGGCGACAGCTTAAGCCTCCCATGACGAAAAAATAATTTGTCAGTGTCACAAAAAATCAAGTCCTCGTCCCCAATTTGTTCAGCTATTTTCAGTCATTATTGGTATCTGAATTATTTGGTGTAGCAAAGTAGTCATTACGACGATACAATTATTTTATTTAAACGAAAAACAGTGTAGAACGAAATAAATAAATTTTTAAGGTAAAAGAATTAGGTAATCTAGAATTTGTGTTTAAGACAAAATTATTTCTACATATCCGCCATGCTAGTTTAAACAATAAACCTGATCATTTGAGATTCTGTTGTATAATAATACCGCATACAATGTTAGTGAAAAACTTGTAAGAATATAGTAATTTTACAAGAATATATATCATATGAGTAGTAAACAAATGACATCGTGAAATATAACTCCGAAACATACTTAAAGCAAAAGCGACATAATTAACTGTTTAACATCACAATATCTAAATGCAAACCCAAATGTGAGTATTTAACGTATAAAAGTAACTTATTATGTGGCGGTTATTCGTTTTTTCCTTAGACGGACGTGGTATCTTGAAGAAATTGCCAATAAATTTGTTAAACAAGAAACAAAAAGTGTAAAATAAATAATTTCGGCGTCTTTAATTCCCCCTGTTAATTTATCGATGTAGTTTAATCTGGGAATCTCCCGGCTATAGACCATGAAAAATTTTACATATCTGAATATTTTAAAGCTAATTTAAACGAGATGGAGTTTTGTTTGTGGATGTTTTAAATTTAATTCTGTTTGAAATTTGGAAAGCATATATTATAACAAAGCAATATATCATGTTATATATTTAATTGGCAGTCGAAGAATTATTTTAATACGTATTAGTTAAAATAAAATATATTGATTATTTATTATTGATAGTTTCATTAATGAGAAAACAGTAATATTAGGTCTGTTCCAACAAGAGTCAGGGATTGGTTCCCAACCGTTCGAAATGTTTGGCCAGCTAAATTCTAAATGTGTCTTCAGTGAATATTTCCCAAGAATTAGTTGGATGCACATTTCTGACGATTTGGAACCAATCCCTGACTCTTGTTGGAACAGACGTATATAAAAATGAAGCAAATTTTATTAGCAATTTTAGAAATTATTTATCTTTCTTATTTGCTTCTAACAACTAACTACCTCATTGTGTTTTGTAATACGAACAGTTTGTAACAAATATTTTGTATTATGCGGTCATTTGTGATTATATTGTCATTTACATATTTCCCACAGGATACTGTTGTGCATAGGCACTAGAGAAATACAATATTAAAACGATATTTATATCATTTTTCTAAATGCTCCATCCCACGCAAGCATTATTATAATTTCTCACACAAATATGCAGCATCATCGGTAAATTACGGTTGGGTAGCAGTTTATACAAATATTATTCACTATTGCTTTATTTTAATTCATTTTAATAAGGTGTGGCATCTAAAATCAATATTGACAGTAGGCATAAAAAGTGACGTACACAATTGTATTATGAAATATGTTTTAATATACACCACACATTCCTAGTCAATTATTATATCATTTTATTATACCCACAAATCGAATGTATAAAAGATTTTTTTATTCTTTAACGTATGTAGTTAAGGATTATCTCTACAAACATGTTTTAATACAAAGGCAGGGAAATATTTACGGTTTTGTTGAGATTTGGCTGAAACTGACAATTTATTGAGTGTTTTTTTAATGTGTTCAAGTGTGTATTTAGAAAACAAGTTTTGATGCTAGACTGAATGAAAATATAACGTTCTCAAGAAAATTTATTACTTCATTTTCGTTTATCAACTTGTAGTAAAATTTTTTTAAATATGACTGGATATAATATCTAGGTAATTAATTTTGATTATACCTAAAGCCGAAAGATATCATAGACATTTTTTTAGATATATGTCGTTCATAATTTTTTTAATTTATGTAATAAATAAAGAAATTTACATTAGGAGTCAAATTATTGTAATTATAAGAATAATTTCTCCGTTTGGCATTAAATTGATATTCTGTGTAGTCTTTTAATGTCTTACAAATATATACATTTCAGTTGATTACATATGTTCTTTAATGTCAATGGAAATTGTTTTGCCAAATTGTTTTGCCAAACCGTTAAAATGATTAGCTGTGGTGTAATAAAACAAAAATGTTTATTCAGTATTGTCGTTTATTCATATTCACAACGTAAAAAAGACCATTACTATGTTATTTTAAAAAGTAATCTGTACATAAGTGTTTACGGGAATTCGTTTAAAGATGCGTATTTATAAGATATACAAAAAAAGGCAAGTGATTGAAAATCGTATAAAAATAAATATGAGATATAAAATATATAAATATTTACAGTTTGAAATATACAATTTTGATTTATACTTAACTATACAAGTCCATATTTACAGCTAGTTAGACTCCGTTATTGAGCGGAGTAGCTCGGGTTCCTCGCATACGATCACCACTCATTCGACGTCTTCCTCAAAGGCACTCACACACCCCGAGCTTGACTATATCACATCCGACACTCGCATTGCACTCACAGTCTATATTACGTAGTATCACAATAGGCTGACATTAGAATTAGTCACACTAAGAGTTTCAGTTACTGTCATATGTGGATGGCCACCGTCCTGGACGCGTTGTTACCTCCTGGAGGGTTGGGGGCCTGGCCTCTGGCGCTGTGCCTGTGTACGTGGTGGTGAACGTGCGGGCTTCTCACCGGTCCCGGGTGCCGCTGGTTGTTGGGCACGTCCGGCAAAGCGTACTTCAGCTTTTCCCAAAACAGTTTGTCGCCCCACTGCAAGTACACGTTCGTCTTCAGATAGAGGCGAATATCGGGGTCTAAATCTTTCTGGGGCACCTCGCCGAGCAGCACGACGATAAGTCTCCGCCTACGGTCCCTTAGCACTTGATGATGCGCCGATTTAAATTCGAATCTACACCACTCGGATTTAATGAAGTTCTCGGATAAGATCATTATTGTCCTCTTGGAGGATTCGACCGCTTGCACTATCGTATCGGCCAAGAAGGCACCCACGGGGAAGTCTCTGTAGTGCAGGCACAACTTATAATTGGGTTCGAGCGCAGGGGCAAGCACTTCTGCCACCCACGCCTCGTCCTTAGAACTGTAACTGACGAACGCGTCGAATAATTTCTCTCTGTCGTCGCGGTCTAGGTCGGACGCTCGCTGAAAAAGCCGTACTCCGAATTTAGAATGAAGCCATACGCGCACTTCTTGTCTGTATATGAACAGGATCAATGTCATTAACACTATTAACGCGAAAACTGCCAACGTAACTACTAGAAGCGGTAAATAGTCCTGTATGACTTGGCGCTGGATGATAGTCTTTGTTGCAGTTAAATTACCGTTTATGCTATTGTCTATGTTTGCCACGCCGGTACACACGGTGCCGTTTTCTTGCGTTATGTAGAACCCGACTTCGGGATTATCCTGATAAGTGTCCTCACTGTAATAATCAATGTCCGTGGTGTTGTACACGCACCTAACCGAGGAAGAATCCCGCACAGCGTCGCCGCGTTTTATCCACTCGCGGAGTTTCTCTGTAAAATCACAGTCGCACGACCAGGGATTGTAAGCCAAAGTCATGTCTATGAGGGTCGTAGGTAAATTCCACATATTATAAATATTCAGTCGATTGTGATCTAATTTCAGAACCCTCAGTTTCCTCAAACCGGCAAACGTTAAATTATGTATGTTAGTGATTCTGTTGTTTTGCAGGAATATTTCCCTTAAATTCTCCAGACCGTCAAACTCATAACCGTGCAATTCTCCCAGGCGATTCCCATCTAAATGCAATATTTCCATCTCCTTGAGCCCGTTGAAAGTCCTATTCTGTATAATTTCGATATTGGAGTTATTTAAAAATAGTATCTTGAGCCGTTTGCGACCAATGAAAGCGTGACTGTTCAGCGACCGCAAGTCATTTCCGTCGAGGTACAGCTGCGTGGCGTCCATGGGTATCTGATCGGGGAGTCTGGCGACGTATCCGCTGGAAGAGCAGTCCACCACGTTGGCCGACCAGGACTGATCGTGGTAGCAGGTGCAGTTCGTAGGGCAGGTCATCTCACAGTCACAGGCGTCGAAATCACAGCAGTGGCAGAGGGCAAAGCAGTGCGTCTGGTAGGTGCAGAGGAACTGATAAGGAGCGGCTTCGACGAGAGGCACGTATGTTTGACCTCGGTTGTATAAAAGCTGGCAGTAGATGCTCTCCAGGTCAACAAGCTTGGGCTGCGTACGCGCTCGATTTCCAGCATTGACCTTTTGCAGCCACTCCATTGTGCAATCGCACTGATACGGATTTCCGCCGATGTAGAACTCCGGCAGGTCCTTTTCGGGCGGCACCGCTGATATACGGAGGGCGTTGGGGTCTAGGCTTGTTATTTTATTACCGAATAGATCCACTCGCGTTAAATTTGGTTTTTTGAAGAAGGTGTAAGACTGTACTTTTGATATTAAGTTGTCGTTTAGGAATAATATTTCTACACTGTTTGGAATTGCGCTGCCGGTGATTTCCGTTAGTTTATTAGAACTGGCGTCGAATGTGCTTAAGGACAAGGTCGATTCGATTTCGAAATAATTTCCTAGTTCTTCAACTTGATTTGAATGTATGTCTAACCATTTCAAACCTGTTGGGATAAGAGCGTAGTCGAACCATTTTAATTGATTGTCTGAAATATTTAACCACACTAAATTTGGTAGTTTTGCAAACAGTTCTTCTATGTCAGTCAAATAATTTCCATCAAGACGAATCGCTTGTAAATTTAAGTTATTGTCGAAGGAGCCAGGGGATACTTTCTGTATTTTATTTCTAGAGAGATTTAATATTTTCAGAGACGTCATTTTGTCGAACACACCCTTGGTGATATTGCCTATATTGTTTTCAGTCAGTCTTAACCCGTACATCTGCTTTAGGTCAGTAAATGTATCATTTGTTATGATGTCTATGTGATTTTCGCCGAGATCGAGCGTCTTCAGCATAGGCACATTAGTTAGTACTTCAGGCACCTGCACAAGTTTGTTGCCATTGAGATGTAAATCCTGAAGGCCCGAACAGTTCTTTAATGCTTCCGAGTGAATCCAGGATATTTTATTATTGTCGATGGACAACAATGAAAGCACGTACAAGCCATTGAATGTGTCGCCATCTATCTTTGTTAATTTATTATTCGATATTATCAAAGTGTGCAAATTGTACAGTGCGGAGAATGTATTTTCTGGTATTGTCTCTATGAAGTTATCGTTAATCCTCAGTATTTGTAAACTGTATAAATCACGGAAAACTGAAGATTCCAGTTTAGATATCCTGTTGAAGGAAATGTCCAGCACCACTAGCCTCACTAATCCTGAAAAAGTTGCCGCATTTATCCAGTCGGCAGTTAACTCGTTATGTGACAATTCCAGTACTAGTAGCTGCGTGAGTTCACTGAATAACCCGGGCGCCAGCACGTTTATCGAATTATTCTGCAAGTACATTTCGCGGATATCACGGGTGTCGGAAAATAATTCCGGAGGGAGACTGACTAGCCTGTTATCGGACAGCTTCAATATATTTAACGCCGTCAATCCTTCTAAAGCGCGGTCCGCCAAGTGCGTTAATCCGTTGCCCTGCAGGTATAATTTCTGCAGCCTCGCGAGCCCCGATAGCTGACCAGAAGGCAGGCGGTCGATATTGTTTCGTGACAAATCTAACAGTCTTAAATTCGCACCGCACCTCTCCGCGGGATTAGTCGCAAACCGGAAACTTGTCACTTCTCGTAAACGGTTCTTCGTTAAGTTAAGCACTTCTAGGGCGTACAGGGGGCAGAGAACTCCTTCGGGTAAACTCCACATGTTGTTCTCACCCAGGTCTAGTCGTTCCAATTGGCGCAACTCCTCGGTGAAGGCATTAGGAGACACTTCTAGGGTCATAGCGGACCAGTCTGTGTTGTGAGTTCGCACTGTGAGATTACGAAGCTCCTTGAGCCCCCGGAAAGCTCCGTCGGAGAGGTTACCGATTTTACAGTATTCTATGGAAAGCTCGCGAAGTTCCACTAAGGGTTTAAAGCTGCCGGCACTGAGAGAACTTTGAAAGAAAAGCGCATCACTGCATTCCAGTCTTAATCTCACTGTATGTTGCGGTTGGATTACACTAAAGTTGGTATTTTCTAATTCACTGTTGATAGTGCGGAGCCGACAAACGAGAGCGACGTCGTCGTCGGAGCCGCTGTCTACCGCGACCCACTTGCATTCGTCCGGCGGTTGATAGCGCAGAGTCTTGCTGAGCGACGCCGATAGCACTCCGAAGATGGCTCCGAAGAGCAGCGCACACACCACCGTGGTGCCCATGTCGTACGGCTCTGGGTGCTACACCATTGTATGCAGCAGAGCTGATGTCTTGTAGCATGCCGCGTCCGTCTCGCTAGCAGCTCGATGCTTGACTGCAGCCGTTCGCACAAGGCCACGAATTCCTTGCTTCTCGCCCTCCTCTTCGGCTCTACATTGCTGGCCACGTCTCCCCGCTTCTCGACAACACCGACACAGCCTAAGAATAGACCGAGTCGGTGGCATTCACAAAAAACTGTTAACTCCAACCGCGTTTTTTTACCTAAACGTCGGGTTTTCTATCTGATCGCCCGTTGAAATCACTGAGGAGTATCTCGCCCCGTGTTTCTCTTTTCGTTATTTATTTCGGTTTTATTGCTCGAGACAAAAGATCATCAATTTAATCACCCTTCTCGGACAAATTAAATAACATTTATAAAGGTTTTTTTTAAGAAACCCAGAGGGCATCTTGTTACTCCATCCGATATTAATCGTGTATTTAGATAACTGCCGCAACGTCTACACTAATAAAAATACTATTAACAGATAATTCCGAAGCATTTATAGTAAACTTTTATCGATTTATCACGTTTAAATAAATCGCCCATAACCTGTAAGTTGTATCAGGTAGGTAGGTATAGCTATATCCAAGAGGCGGGCGATAACAATTGCATATTAATGTTTTCACTAATTTAATGCGTTTAATGCCGTGTAAATAAATCTGACCTTGTTCATCAGCTGACTGAGAAAGTTCAGTGATACTTACTTAGGTACCTGTAATAAAAAACGTGATAATTAAATTTATCGCGACGTTCTTTATTATATTTACCAAAAGTAGATAAGTTACTAAGTAATTAACACAACGGTTCCATTTTCTACTATTGAATTAATTTCTTTTAAAGGTAGTTTTTTTTTTGTTTTAATAAAATCCTCGGCATTTTGTTATGTATATATTATTAGGATCTATATCTGCAATAAGTTAATAGAAATATTGCACCTGGATTATTTAACTCAACTATTTGAAAATTATTGTCTTAAATTATTGTGCATTTTTTTTAAGTAAGGACGCTTTTGAAAATGTAAGATGTTCGGAAGACACTTCAAAAAAAATCGTCATTTAATGAAAGGAACATTTGTATTGACATTTTTATACTTCACTATACAATTAGACTTAAGTACCTATTTTCAGTTATTTGTTTGCATTATGTCAGTATACTTAAAATTGAAACTTTGATAATTATGTATTTATGTCTTGATTATTAATATCTTAAATAGTTTCATTGTTGTAATATATTTAAATCTGTTATTTTTATTCCCAAATTAGGTACCCATAAATATGCAGCTAACTGGCTTCACACCTTATCGTACTATTGTAGTGGAAGTTTATTTGGAAGTGGAAGTTTATATTAGCCTGTCATAAGGAAAAAAAGGAAAAAATAATACGGGAATCATTTTTCATAAAAAATATAGATATCTTTAAAGATGTGTAATCTTAATTGTTGTATGCATAGATTTGTGTGTAAAAATCTTAAAAATATATTGCGTAGAGATTTCAGTAGGAAATGTAACTTTATCCTTTACAATATTTTCTTCATTTTATTGGATAACTAGATACATAAACTTGTCACACTTACGATATTCTTCTGTTTTATTTTAAAAGACTACATAAAAATTAGATAATTATGTAAATTTGCAGCAGCACAATTTCATGTGTAACCTTTTCTATATTTATTTTATCATCAACTAAATTCCATTAGATACTCAAGTTATGTGTATGGAATGTTAAGTCTTTCCGTTTCATTTCATTACTTTTTAATATAATAGAACATTCTTAAATTATCCAGAAGAACAGCTTTATGAAATATCTTGAAAGGAACACATAAACAGCTACATTGGCTAAGAATACATGCGGCAAATGTCTTTTTGGAATAATAATTAAATATTTAATATTTCATTACTTATAGAACAAATAAATTCACGCCATCAGCATATAACAGATAACGTACATTTAAATCAGAGGCGTCATAAACTCAAAAATTTAAACATTGAAAGTCCAAAAACTAAAAAATCCATACGGGGATGGCATGGTGATCTAATATTTATTTTATTATATAAAAATAGTAAAAAAATAGTATTCAATTAAAAATATAAAAGAAACAAAATTTAAAAAAATTACAAATATATAAATAGTATAAATATGTTAAATAATAACAATTAATATAAAATCAGAGTTAATCTGTTACAGGAATTCATTATATATGATATAGCTACTCGTGATTGAGCTTCACAGTAATTAGTATTTACACATTTGGTAGTAAACATGATAAGCTTTCTACAAATTAGGACAGTAACTTTTTATTTGCAAAAGGTCCTGATATCAATATGAGAGGAATATGAAAATTTTAAGTTCTGAAATTTTATCATATTATTTAGGATTTTGATAAAAAATATTACATGATTTCAATAAACTGCACGTAGTATGTTTGTTGTTCTATTTTTGTGTACAGTCCTTAGTGGGTAATGATTGCCAAGTCAAAATCAGCGCTGTACTTTTTTAATACAAATTATATTGTCCAAACAGGTGTCCAAACTAAGGTAGCATACTTACTGAGGATTTGTTCTGAAAAATACAATAAATAATATGTGTACCTGGGATTTGAATGTGAAAGTTTTAGTAACCGCTTTCAGAAAATACCCCCAAATCTTTAACTTTAACTTGAACAAATTCAACAACAAAATCTAAGAATTCTGAGAGAGCTATTAATCTCTGATCAAAAAGTCTGGTACAAGATCATGCTCTAAGGCAATTTTAAGTTTGATTTGTCCAATAGAATTAAGTAAGTTGTCAAAAAAAGCTTTCGGCGTTATAGTCAACAGATGTTAAAAATGAAGCAAAAAAGTTGTCAGCAAAACTATTTGGGATCATATTAAAAGGGTATTATTGTTTTAAATATTAATATATGTTCTGGTTTACTTCTATTTTTAATAGTTGATCGCAAACGTTTATATTTACTATGCTAATTAAGGTGGAGCGATATTTATCCTTTTCTTTGATGTATGCAATTAAGGATTTGTTAAATGGCAGTGGACATATTTTATTTAAAATATTTTTTGGCGACATATTTAATCAAACCAGAATTTAAAATTTAATAAAACTTAGAACGACAAAGTCGACATTGAATTGCTTTACGATAGACCAATCAGTCAAAGAAAGTTCGCGACTTATGGCAAAAAAATGAGCTTTTCTAACATTGAGATTTTAAATTTGTCCTCGTTTTCTCTTTCCGTTATTTGAAACTAAAAAGTGTACGAGTAAAGGAGGATGATGTAGATCTTCAAGTGGTAACAAATCAGAAGCATGGAAATCATCTGATGGAGACAAGTACGAATAATATTGGCTACTATATCTTTTATGGTGATCTGACAGTTTGTAGGTTCGATATTGTAAATATATAGAGCGGATATAGTATTCTTTTTCTTCTGGCGCCATTCATAGGACTATTGTGGTTGTCCATGATTTTAGTCTAGTTCCTCACCTTGCTTTAATTTTCCAGCTAAACTTTTCGAAATGGTTCCTTCAGGTAGTTTCCACTACTTCTCTTCCGAGCAGTATATAGCATATGTCTCAGCAGTCCTCCATCTTCGGTGGTGTAGATCCACCGTTAACTTATCTGATGGTTCTCTTCAGAACATCTTGGCTTAGCTCTCTTCGGAAGCTCCTTGCCATCATTTTTGGGTCTTGGGGATTCTTTACAACGCAGCTAGCAATGCTGTAGGTAACTTTGAGTCTCTGAATGACTCTTACTAACTCATCAATCTTTGTGCCCCTACGCCCTGCAACCTAAGGTAAATTAACATTACTAATTTAACACTATTTTTACTTCTTAGCTTTGGTCTAGATTTCATTAGGTCAATGTTGACTGTCTTTAACTCTACCTAACTGTCGAAGTAAATAGCAATACTTACGTTTTTTTGCTGATATAGATGAGGAGATTCCAAAATACGATTTAAGGAACTTTCCAAAGATGGGTCTGAAAGTATGTCTCTACCTGGTAAACATTAATTTTGAATACTAGCAAAAAATGTTACTAAAATGTTATCAACATATGAATTGTCCTGACTAACCGATAGTTTTTGGACGGGTCTTTGGGTTATTCCTTTTTAAGTTCTGGAAAGTGTTGACTACTAATTGGTTATATCAAACCCCAGTGGGTCAATAAGGAACAATGGACCTGAATAAATCATTATTTTAATTCCATACCGCGCTCGCCGCTGATAAATGATCTTCGTACCTTCGTTAGACAAACCGAAACCGTCGAAGACGGCCGCGAATGTGCCGAGATGGCCCCGCAATAAAACACGGCGAGGAGCGTTATTGCCCAATTAATAACGTGCTTCAGGAATTCAGCTACACGAAAAGGCCATCTTTCGGGGAATATTAAAACATCCCCGCACTAAATAAACCAAATGAATAGGCCAGTTAAGATAGCCTTAATGGGTAATCATATTTCATTGCAACCGGTGCCGAGGATGGTACCTCCCAGTTGTCGCTGCTGTTGTTGTTATGTGGCAATGTGTAATTTTTGCAACATTGTTTTCACATACTTGTTCTTTAATTAATTGTACACTATTTATTGCTATAGGAAAAAGTAAATGTAAATGTGATCACTTCGTTGGAAACTGGTATCGGTGAGATGAACCATCGACCACCTAGATTAACAAAGCGTCCAAGTTTATTAAAGTTCTACATCGTTAACGATGTATATGTATTTAAGTTTTAAAAATTCTGTGAAATTAAATACATATAATTAGTTTAACTAAATTAAAATTTCTTTTTAATAGAAATTAGTTTCTCTTTTACTTACAACGTTCTCTACTTAATTGCACTTTTATATTAATTTCTCACTGAGTATGTCCATTGTCATTTGAAATTTGCTTTAAGAAACAGCATTTTCCACTGAAAATGATTAGCCTGATAATTTTTTTATCTTTGACTTCAGGAAAAAAAGTTTTATATAAAAGTAGTATAGTCTATTGAAGGCCCGAAGAAATAATTTTTAGAAAAAATGTAAACATTTTGTGATATGTAGTTTTTTA